TCGAGGGTTTAGGCTCGAAGATTCGAGGATCAGGCTTTGTCAGGTTTCGTGCCATACCCAGACCACGAACTTCACCAACAAGAGTTCACCTGCCCTGTATACTGAGCTGCTACGGTTGATGGACAAAATCCTGCATGACCTTATATACCTAAACTGTGGGGTTTATGGTACTATGCTATATTTGGGTCATGCAGGATTTTGTCCATCGACAGTATGACACCCTTGAAATGCAATCGCCCCAAATACTTATACTATACCAAAAACACCTACACAAACACACGGGTTAAACAGCCAGCGAACGACTCAAGGCCCACAGCCCTAAACGGCGCAACCCTCAAGGAAACTCGACACGCCTCGACCCTGGTATTTCACGGAGATGGGGTTCACGCGCGACTGACAGAGAGAGAGAGAGGAAGGGCTTAAGGTGTGGACTGCAACATTGGGGGGGTGAATGGTTTGAACACGGCTTGGGCTTGGAGGTATTTTACACCACCTGAAACCCTACACCGTAGCCCCACACCCAAACATGGCCTGATCCGTAATTACTTGAGACCCCACAAGTAGATGTAAGATAGGGGCCTTAATAATTAGAATAGGGTTTTGGGGTAGACTCTACTATAATCATAATCAGGAACCCCCCAAAAAAGTATCGGCAATTATTCAGGCCCCAACCCTTAACTACGGGGGTTCGGGGCTTGGGGTCTTAGTCCCAAAGACCCCGAGCCAAACTCTTCATAGCAGCTTATGATTGGGACTTTCAAATTTAGGGGGGGGGGGGGTTGAGGATTTTGGGGATTTAGGGGGTTAGGGATTTAGGGCTTTAGGCGGGTTAGGGGTTGAGGATTTAGGGATTTAGGGGGTTTAGGGTTTAGGGATTTAGGGCTTTAGGGGGTTTAGGGTAAAAACCCTAAACCCTAAACCCTAAAAGTACAGGATTAGAGTTTGGGGACCCGGGCCTCGAAACCCTAAACCTTCGGGCCTTGGGGGTTCGGAGTTTGTTTACAAGTTGGGTTTAGGGTTTAGGGTTTAGGGTGGTAGGATTCGGATAGGATGAAGAGTCCAGGGTTTGGCGGTTTGGGTTTTGGGTTTTGGGGGTTTGCGGTTGGAGAACTAGGGTTTGGTGGTTCTAAACTTCAGAGTGGGGCAATGTAAGGGCCAAGTAGACAGAATGATCGTTCGTGCAGCATATCATAGTATAGTCATAGAACACACAGTACTAACAAGAATGCAAAACCCTAATATTTAATTACGAAGCTCGATTCGAAAAGGGATCCTCGTAGCAAGACGATCGAAGAAGGCAGGGGACGTTAATCAGGGTGGTCTAGTTTAGGCTTTAACGATTCGGGTTTAGGTTTTAAGGTTCGGTGTTTTGGGTTTTGCGCAGGGGTCTACGTCATACAAAAGAAATTGCCATGGGCACGGCAGAGTGTCAGGGTTTGGAGCTATGACGCTTGAACAGGGATTCGAGTGCGTTGTGTGGCGGTTTAGGTTTTTTAGGTTTCGGGTTTAGGGTTGTGGGCTACAGACTCGGTATTTTTTCATGGGCGCAGGGATGAATAACTATACACGTAAAAAGGCCCCCGAAAAACAATAGGGTCAGAATATAAATATAAATATAAATATAAATATAAATATAAATATAAATATAAATATAAATATAAATATAAATATAAATATAAATATAAATATAAATATAAATATAATATATAATATATACATACATATATATATATATATATTTGTTGTAATCCTGCAGCCTGTGGGATGGTACAGTAGCCAGAGGGTTTAAACACGGGTTTGATCTTTAAGGGCTTGCGCTTAACCGTTTGGGGCTATAGGGTTTCGAAGGCCTAAGTCTGATGGTTATGCCAGTACAACTTTCCTGCGGGTATTTCTCCTACCGCTTGCTCCTAAGGAAAACCGAACCATTACCCATCCGGCTTGCTTTTTCATGCCAAGTAGGTCAGTGGATGATTACACTGACCGCCGTCTGGTCAGAACTTCTTCAATGCATGTCATAGCACGTACTAAGCCGATATACGCCTCAATCAATGGATAGGCTTTGAAACGCTTTGGTTTTATCGTATATCGAGGAAAGGATGGCTTTGGTAAAAAAACTACGACAACGCCCAACCATGTGCGGAGAGGCCGGGAGGACACTGAACCAGAACAGCACGACGGCCACTTCAGGGTTCCATCTCTGCATCCAGACGGTTATCGGTCGATGGCGGGTGCATAGTTCATCCCGTCTATTCTGTGAACTCACCTTGCGGCTGCAGTGGCAGAACAAAGGGTTTTTCGCTCTGGTCCTTGTGTACCACCACAACTCCATAATGACAGTACCACAACGTCCCAAAAGCCTCTTCTTGCAAACACGTGAGATAATGCTCTGAGCCCGTCAAACATGCAAAAGCAATCGTCTACGCATTCGCGAAGCCTTCTTGCGGGTGCTCTGGTCAGGGACGACTTCCTGGCGACTTCAACCATGCGGAACATTCAGGGTTCAAGATGCTGGAATTCGGTGTTGAGGGTGCAGGACAGAGAGTGCTGTTTTCAGAAAATGCATTGGGTTGAGTAGGCTAAGGCTACACAAACAGATCGTGAACGAACTTGCACAAACACCACTGAACCCCAAACGAAACACTTCGAGGCCAATGGTCCTTAGTTCAGGAATAACGGCCTACATGCGAGTTTAGTCTAGCCATAAAAAAATGCATTAAATGTTTGAAGAACTTTGCCTCGTATGTTTGAAGGACTATTCGGACCCTCATTACTGGTCCGTACCTTTTAAACAACACGCTCAGGTTCCCAAGTGCCTCATGACGGACTGCACTTACCTTATTACCAATACATTCCCTTTAACATCCCTTAACTAACGCCGTAAGGTTCGAAGTGCCTAACAAACATATATGGATGACTACCATCCGAAACTCCAATACCTATAATGATTTAGGCACTGTTGGTCTTTAGGTAATCGGATTTAGTATTTAGTATTTAGGCCTAAAAGTAGGTTTAGGAGGCGGGCTCAGCAGGAGTCCTTATATCAGGACCCTTACGCAGACCCTCTATCTGTGAATGTGGGGATCAATCGTCTGTGTCCAACCTCTGTTGGTATGTCGTCCTGCCGCACCCCGAAAGTAAACGGTTTCGATGCATTCTGGCAACCAACAAGCTGTAACACCATCAAGCACAACTAAAACTTAGGTAGGGTCGTAGTGTCTTAAAGTTTTCACACCCCACAGTGTGAAGGGCTTGCTGCTTACAGCGCTAGGACTCTAAGGTGTAGGTTTGTGTCTGGGGTTCAACGTGTAATGAGGGCTTGGGTCTAATTCCGGCGTTGAGGTTAAGTGTTTTGGCTTAAGGCGGCGTAGTGGCAAAGGCACAGCTCAACAAGTTCTAGCATGTCCGCGCTTTTTGAAACGTCGTTAGGCAACAACATCTCTACAATCACCAATGCAGTGTAGAGGAGACCTTGTCATACAACACAATCTGGCATGATCCGGCAGCACAACAATCGACTGTGTACCATGGTCAAGAGCACCCACCACAGAATGGCAGTGATGCCCGGAGCATGAGCTACTTCGTGTCTTCTTATAACACGCCAGTCGTGGCTGTGCAATGAGCGACATCCAATACAAATATGATGCGATTCAATTTCTCGTATCGATGTGACTTGAGAGACGAGGGTCTCCAGCACTGCAGTCCAAGAACAGTCACTACATGGTATCGAATCGCGATGGCTCGAAAGCCTACACACATCACCACCCGAAACAATGCTTGAATGCCTCGGAGCCGTTGAAACAAGAACATCCAAGCAACCCTGATGAGCCCGAAACCCGTAAGCATACCCGACATTCCCCCGTAAGACCTTAGCCTCAAAAGGTTAGAACCCCTGTAAAGCTCTGGACTCTCGACCCCAAACAACCGCACTCCGCCCAACGCCATAAACCAAGTCCAAGCATCTATACAATCAATAAACCAAGTACCCCATATCATCCAAAGCTCCTCCCCACAGAACCCCGCACCCCTACACCCTCAAAAACCTATCTAAACTTCAAAACCCCATGATCTTCATGTAGCTGCATGTAGGAGGTGGGAATGGCAGGCAGGCTCAGGTGCGGGAAACAAGGCTTTATAACAACGCGATCCAAGCAAACCGTTGCATAGATTGGCTGATGTGGTTCGCACTTCGAAGCTTCAAACTGTTCAGATCAGGATTGAAATGCATATGGGTGGTTGTCAACATTAGGGTCCCTTTTGGGGTACCCTAAATGATAGGTGCCGTATTATAATAAGGACCCAAAAAGGGACCATAATTTTGACAACCACGCATATCACTCTGGCATTCCTACCGCATGGTCTCGTACCTGATACTGGGCAGTTCCTTCGTCCTTTTCTCAACCCTACCCACACCCTAAGCATCAAAGCGCAAAACCATGAAATCCTAAACCCACTTCATGTATAGACCCGTAAACTCTCGACATTGAACCCTGAAAAGAGGGTAACAGTAGTGTAAGAGTAGGACTACCCTTGCGGAGTATATTTCTATGCTGTAAGACTGATTCAGAAAACTTTCAGAACTCGATGACACAACCTACATGGAACTGTTATAACCCATCTGGACCCTATAACAAGGAGACGTGGGCCCAAACCCTACCAAACTACAAGTTTAAAGCCGCCCAGAACAGTAGGTCATCGGAATTCCTAAACCCTAACGCCGAAACTGAGCCATCTGTCTGGCGCCTCCCCATCTCAGTCTCCAGTTCGCTATGAACACCTAGAAACAACTAGAAGAAGCTGCAAACAGCAAAACAACAACTAGAAACAAACGCTAGAACAAAAGTAGACAAAGCGAAAAATCGGACTCTCTGACTTTATCAACTCCGGCTTCTAGCAGAAGGAGGCATGAGTTTCCTGTCTTCTGTGCCCAGAGAAACACGGGTCTATCTTTGTAAGATACCAGAAGGTAGAAGTTAGGATTAGGGGGACACTTGGGGACATAGACCCTCTCAATAAGGTCCCTTTTCAGAGAGCCATAAAATAGGGTCAAGAAGGGTTGCTTTTGAGGGGTCTCCCTCATACTACCTAGGAAAAGGACGTTTAGATCTCTGAAGGCATCTGGGTAGTATATAACCCTAGATCACCGAAGATCCTAGAGTTTGGGGTTTAGGGTTTAGGACTGTACCCCTAAAAAAAAAGTTATTGGAGCTCTTATAAAACCCACGTTCACCCTAACAATCCCAAAACCCAAAAACCAGCCTGGGTTCTTGTGAAGGGACTTACTTGGAGTTACCGTCGAGCAAGGAATCCATATTAAGTCAGCATTTACTTTCGATGCCTAATTACTGTATGGTATTTGAAAATGTCAAGCGAAGACCCTGAACTTTAGACCTCTAATTACTATATGGTAATCAAAAATGTCAAGCTAAGATCCTTAACTTTCGTGCCTAATTACTGTATGGTATTTGAAAATGTCAAGCTAAGATCCTGCACTTTAGATCTCTAATTACTATATGGTAATTTAAAATGCCAAGCTAAGATCCTCAACTTTAGATATCTGATTACTATATGGTAATTGAAAATGTCAAGCTAAGTTCCTTACCAAGAAACCCTATGGGTAGTTCTCTAAATTAAGGTCCCTTTTTAGGTCCCCAATATAGTACGACACCCTTATAAAAAGGACCCCCCAAAAGGGACCCTAATTTAGAAAACTAGCCCTATAAATCCTAAAAAGCAGCCACCCTTATAAAAAAGGACCCCCGAAAAGGGACCCTAATTTAGAAAACTAGCCCTATAAATCCTAAGAAGCAGCCCAGCCTCGAGCTTCTGGAAGGCTTCGCGGTACCGCTCCTCGACGGTTTAGGGTTTAGGGTTTAGGGTTTAGGGTTTAGGGTAGGGTTTAGGGTTTAGGGTAGGGTTTAGGGTTTAGGGTTTAGGGTTTACGCGGGTGCAGAAAGAGTGGGCTGGAGAGGTCCTATCCCTGAACCCTATGAAGGGTATAGGGTTTGGGGGTTTAACTTTAAAAGCCCTAAACCCTAAACCCTGAATCCCTGAAGCCCTACACCCTAAGCCCGAAAAACCCTTAACCCTAAACCCTGAAACCCAAAAATCCTAAACCCTAAAAACCCTGAACCCTAAACCCTGAGACCCTGAAACACAAAACCCTAAACACCCTGAACCTCAAGCCTGAAACCCCAAACCCTAAAACCCTAAAAACTCTAAACCCTGAAACCCTGAAACCCAAAACCCTAAAAACCCTAAGCCCTAAACCCTGAAACCCCAAACCTTAAAAACCCTAAACCCTAAAGCCTGAACCCTGAACCCTGAAACCCCAAAGCCCTAAAAGCCCAAAACCCTAAACCCTGAAACCCAAAAACCTATAAAACCCTGGAAACGCTAAAATCCTAAAAACCCTAAACCCTAAAGCCTGAACCCTGAAAACCCAAAGCCCAAAAACAAAGTCACTCAACATCGCTTCTGCAGACTGCAGAGCAACAGCCGCGTCGAGTCCTGCGACGAGTTCAGACTCGGCAGTGCTGAGTGTGACAAACGCGTGCCTTGCGGAGCGCCAGCAAATGGGAGAGCCATGCAGGAAGACTACCCACCCTGTGTGTGAGCGATTGCCTTCCGGGGCGAAAGAAGCGTCGCTGTAGGCAACTAAACCTGTGTCATCCGCGTCAGCGGTGTGTTGACTGCACGTATGCAAGCGCTCTCTCGGCGATGCGCGCAGCCCTTTCAGGAGCTTTCGTGCTCAACGAGGCGAGAACCCACAGACTCCAAAACCCCTTAATTAAGGAATATACCTTAAATTGGAATAGGACCCCTAATATGATTTCAGGTATATTCCTTAATTAAGGGGTTTTGGAGTCTCTAGGAACACAGGCAGTGAACGCGAGGTCCGGCCTGGTACGCTGACTTAGCCACAGGATCTCTCCCGTCAGCCTTTGCGCTGTAGGAGCGGACTATGTAAACCCTAACCCCTAAACCCTAAACCCTAAACCCTAAACCCTAAACCCTAAATGGGAGACTGGTCCCCAAAGCCCTAAACCGTGGCTCGGTTTGCATCAGGCTTGGGGCCTCAGGGCCTTTAGGAAGTTTAAGAATAGGGTTTAGGGTTTAGGGTTTAGGGTTTAGGGTTTAGGGTTAAGGGTTTACGGTTTAGGGTTTAGGGTTTAGGGGCCTCAAGAATTGGAATAGGTTTCATAGGGCTCCATTACAGGGGTCCTGAAAAGGGTTCTATAAGGGTTGCTACAAGGGTTCTGTAATGTCCTTAATAATTAGAATAAAGCTCCTGCAAAGGGATCCTTAAATGAGTTCTATAAGGCCTGCTATAAAGGTTCTATAATGTAGGGGCCTTAATAATTCGAACAGGGATTTGGTGCCCGTTATACTATAATGATCCCCAAGATAGGATGGGTGATTATTAAGGCCCCTAAGCCCTTATCCCTTATAGCAGCCCTTATAGAACCCTTTAAACTTTAAAGGAGCCTCAGAACCTTATTCTGATTATAAAGGCCCCAATATTATTTAGGCCCCTACGGCTCTGTGGCTCTGTTGCTTCAGATCTTCCTGGGTCCAGAGTCGAGTTCAAGGTTCTTGGGTTTAGGGGTTTAGGGTTTAGCGTTTAGGGTTTAGGGGTTTAGGGGTTTAGGGGTTCAGGGTTTAGTAATTTAGGGGTTTAGGGTTTAGGGTCTTGGGCTCTGGGATGGTTGTAGAGGCATTGTAGGGTGTAGTTTAAGGTTCTTGTGTTTAGGATGTTGAGCATTTTGCGTCAAGGAGACAATGGACTTTCACGTTGCTGGATAAGGGTTTTAAGTATGAGGTTTGCCTCTTTGGAGCACTCCAGCTACTCCTCGTTGATTGGGGAAGTGAACCTAAACCCTAAACTCTCAAACCCTAAAGAAGCCCAGTGAGACAAAGCCGAAGCCCCAAAAGCAATCAATATTTCATCCCACACGAGTGTCGTGTTGAAGTTTGAAGGTGTGACTACCAAGCCAAACTCGAAACCTACCTATAGTCTCCATTGTAGTTCGTTTTGTTGGTTCAACCAAAAATAAATCAAGGAATTTATAAGGTATCCCCAAAAAGGAACTACAATGGAGACTACAGGTAAGCCCTTATTACTAAACTCGAGCCTTAACGCTGTGAGCAATACCGTAAGACTCCAAATAGTCCCAAGTAGGAACTCCTCATAGACTTTAGAACCCAAAGTAGGTACTACTTGTAGAATGTAGAGGCCTACAACTATCACCACTGCCATTCCCCAGGAGTTCCTTAATCCAATTGTACTACACTACACCCCCAAACCCTATCTGGGTTCCTGTTAAGGGATCTAATTTAAGTTTAGTATAAAATCAAGGAAACCCTATTCGTTACTCTGCGTTCCTATTATGGTAACTCAAATTAAACTCCTTAACAAGAACCCAGTATTCGATATATATATATATATAAATAAATAAATAAATAAATATATATATATATATGTATATATATATATATATATAAAAGGCACCGAAAAGACTCGGAGCCTTAGGGATTGGCCAAGCTTCGTGAAGGGTCTCATTGCCTTCGGACCCCAAAGCTTTCGGAACTGCCGGCACGGTGGCTACCTTGAGAGCTTGGCTTCTTTAACCTGGGTTCTTGTTAAGGAGTTTAATTTGAGTTACCATAATAGGATGTATAGTAAAAAATAGGGTTTCCTTGATCTTGGTAACTTAAATTAGATCCCTTAACAAGAACCCAGTAACGGCTTCTGCAAGGATTCTGGGTTCTGTAGGGGCCCTTTCACGGGTTCTACGTGAGGATTCCGTAAAGGTTCTTCGAATGGTTCTACAAGGCCCGAAACCCTAAACCCTCTTTGGAGTGTTCTATGAGGATTCTGCAAGGGTTCTTCAAAGGGGTTCTAGAAGGATTCCGAAAGGGCTCTTTAGTGGCTTCTATGAAAAGTCTGCAAGGTTTCCTAAGTCTTAAGAACTGTAACAGGATTCTGCAAGGTTTTTTTTGTCAAGGGTGCTGTAAGGATTCTGTAAGGGCTCTTTACAGTATTCCATGAGGCTTCTGCAAGGGGTCAACGCTACTTTCTGCGAAGAGACTGTTTATGGCTTCAAGTATCACGGGAAAATATAGGAACCCTAAACCCTAAACCCACTTTTTTGAAAAGGATGGGATGTAAGTTCGATACAACCGCAACGGCTAACACTCTCGCCTAAGCCCGAATTGAACCCTCAACCCCCCAAGCCCGGAATTTAATCTTCCCCCCCTCCGCCTCCCCTGAACCAAAACCCTAAACCCTACACCCTAAACCCTAAACGCTAAACCCTAAAACCTGAAGCAAAACCCTGAACCCTGACCCTGAAGAACTCCGATAAGACAACTTCGAATCCTCACATCTGACCAGCTGGGTCTGCCGTGTAGCGGTAACATCGGGGCCGTGATCGTTAGCATGCTTAAAGGTTCATGGGGCTTAGTAACTATGGTTTAGGGTTTAGGGGTTAGGGTTTAGGATGTAAGGTTCATGGGACTTAGTAGCTAGGGTTGTAAGTAAGGTAAATCTACCTAATAATTAGTTACAGCCCCGATTCAGGTACCTATAACTGTCCTTCTTACGTCCCATGAACCCTAAACCCTAAACCCTATACGTACAATTACCTATAACCACAATTCAGGTACTTAAAACTGTACTTATTAATCCCATGAACCTCCGAGTAAGGCTTCGGGCCATGTTGTACATTTATTAAGAGCTCCGAAGGACAGTATTAAGAACTAGCCAGGCTAGGCTTTAGGGTCCAGGGTTTTACCATAACCCTGCAGGACAACAGCCCCCCGAACGACTGGTAAAATGTATGATCTTGAAGCCGCTCCGAAGCCCTTAACCCTAAACCCTACAGTAGAAGCCAGAAAGTTGGAACATCATTATCCTCGTGCCCTTAAGGTAAAGTATAAGGGATCCCAGCACTAATCATCCTACATCCATGTTCCAACTTTCTGGGGTTCGCTGTATTATAACCCCCTAAACCCTAAATCCTCAAGACCCCCCTAAGCGACTCCAGGGTGCTAAGTGCGTCATCACAGGTTTCAGCCGGGCAATGCCGGATTCCAACTGCTCTTGGGCCTGGACAGAAGGGGGTTGAGGGTTTCGGCTATGTTTATAGGGTTTAGGGGCTTTTGGGCTTCAGGGTTTAGGGGCATCAAGATCGTTCCCTCGGTACCCAAACACCTATACAGTAAGTTACCGGTTTATGGGTACCATGACAGGGTTCATATAGGGTTGAATGGACAGTAACCCACTACATAGATGACTGGGCTCCTAGTAGAAATAGGGCTTAGGCCTTCAGGCAGTTCACGGTATCGGGGAGTTTTGGGGGTGTAGGGTTTAGGGATTTGAAAGTCGAATTTCAGCTTAGGGCTTAAACCCTGAACCCCAAACCTTTATAGGCTAGGGTTTGTGGTTTAGGGTGTATTTTAGGGGCCTTCATAATTACAATAAGGGTTTGGGGGGTTCCTCATTACTATCATAGTATAATGGGCCCAAAAATAACCCGATTCTAATTATTAAGGCCTCTAAACCCTGAACCCTTGTAGTAGCCATTAGGGGCCCTCTGAAACCCTATTCTACTTCTTAAGGCCCCTAGATTAGGGCGTAAGGGACCAGGGCTTCGGCTCCAGGCTTCGACAACCTAAGGTTGAAACCATGGGCCCCTGGTATGGGCCCTTAACCCTGGGATCCTTATACACCTACTATATACCCTAAAGGTACCCTTAAGGGTCCCTAGAAAGGGCTAAGGGTCCATATTAGGGGCCCATACTTCTAACCTTAGACCCTAAACCCTAAACCCTAAACCCTAAACCTATAAGTTATAGGTGGGGATCGAGGTTAACTTTGCAAGGTGGAAGGGCTGGAGTTCAGGCTTCACAGGTTTACGGATGAAGGGCTTCGGGGCTTAGGGGCTTAGGGGCCCAGGGACCAGGGCCTTCGGGTTTAGCGTTTTAGGGCTTAGGGGCTTTTGATTTAGGGTTTCAGGATTTAGGATTTAGGGTTTAGGGTTTAGGGCTTAGGGTTTTAGGGTTTATGGGCCTAGGGGCTTAGGGGCCCGAAGTTCAGGCTTTAGGGTTTAGGGCCTTATAAGGCTTAGGGTTTAGGCTTCAGGGTTTAGGGGCTTCGGGTTCAGGGTTTTAGGGTTTAGGGTTCCCGAATCCAAGTACCTTATCATCCAGGTACTTTGGACCACTACGTAGGGGTGCACATTGAAGCTGCATGCCGGGCCATAGTCTTCTTCTCAAACTCCAGTATAGCTCAGAACAAACCCCTAAACGCCACACGCCACACCGCGAAACCCTAAACCTCTACACCTGAAGCCCTATATCCTGAACCGTATAAGCCCTAAATGCTGAGCTTGGCCTCATTGACTCTGTAGGTCTTGGCTTAGGGACGGCCACTGGTTGAACATCCGCCGACACACTTGACCGGACACCCGGCCGGTATGTATGGCTATAAGGCTGATTCTTTTGTAAAGGGTTTAGAGTTTAGGGTTTAGGGTTGTGCAGGGTTTCTGGGGTTTCACAGGGTTTGATGCGTGGCATTTACAGGATTTTATAATGGTCGACTTCTGGAGGCTGAGTCGCGTAACAATTGTGTGGCCATACGGGGACTACTGCAGTCTCAGCAACATCGCGATTCAAACATTGAACTCTAGAGGGAATGCCATGTGCAGTGTGATGGCGCGTGATGATGGTGACTACGATGTAGAAAATGGTGATGATGATGATCATCATCATCATGGTTATAGTGTCACTAGATCCTGAACCCTAAGCCGCATCAAGCATCAACTCTAATCCCTGAACCTGTTGCCAGCAGAGTTTAAAGGGGCTTAGGGTATAAGGCTTAGGGTTTAGGGCTCAGGTTTAAGGTTTATAGGATCAGCTTCTGAATGGGGATTGTACTGCATGGTTTACACAAGGCAAACTCTAATCCACCCTCCGCTGCGGCCTGGCCTTCTGCACAAACTGGACCAAGTCTTTCCGCGCCATCCGGATTTCAGCCGCCATCTGGAGCGGGATGGGTCGAATAATTAGTAGTCGGATCCCCTTGCATTCCCTGTTGTAAGTAGATTATATAACTGACTCCGGAACTCGGTTATAACCAGGAAGCCTCTTTGGCCCTATATTTCTGGGACAGGTGAGACTCGGGACTTGCTACTTCTCAGACTAAGAGGCCCCCGTAGAACCCATGGGCCCATAGTATGGGCCCTTAACCCTGGGACCCTAATATACCTACTGTATACCCTGTATATATATATATATATATATATGTATATATATATATATACCCTTAAGGGACCGTAGAATCCCCTAAGGGCCCATGTTAGGGGCCCATGGGTTCAACCTTAGACTAAAGGAGGGGCCTTCATGATCCGACACATTACAATACCCTTAGCATCAAAATAGCCCAACAGCCGTATACTATGGGGTCTTTGGGCCCGAAAAACTTACAATATGAGTCCTTTGAGGGTAAGGGATATGGTTATAGTCACCCTAAGGAATCGAGGGTTTTGGGATACCAACCTACTCTTCTAGCGCAGTAACCTGGTTAAGCTAGGGAGGGCGTCAGGACATGTTTGAGTTGACTGGATCGAACTACGGGGTTTTGCCAGACTGAACTTTTTCGAGGTACACAGGTACCCAGAAGTTTATAAGCGCACTTGGACTTATCCATGAAACTGCTCAAAAACCTTGAACCCTTAACCAGAAAGCCCGCTGCCCAGCCCACTGAAACTCAAGGACACCCCCAGGCCCTAGGGACTCACTAAACCCAATACACCGCTATGATATTGCCATGAAAGAAATCCTAAACCCAGGACCCTACAGACAGGGTCCTTCGACGGTATGCTCTGAAAGAATACGGGTAGTTCTCTAGAGTAGGTCCCTCTCAGAGGGAGTCCTTCGGTTGATGGACAAAATCTTGCATGACCTTATATATCTAAACTATGGGATTTGTGGTACTATACTATATTTGGGTCATGCAGAACTTTGTCCATCAACAGCTGCATACGGGTGCCGGACTTTTTTGGGGACCTAAAAAGGCACCCTGACTTTTTGAAAACTATCCCTCTAGTACCCTTACAGAACCCCTATAGCAACCCTGATTTAGAGAACTACCCATCTATGACAACCTCCCCGAACCTTTCGGCCGTAGGACCAGGGTCTCAAAGCCCATGGACACTACTCAAACCAGAAAAAGTCCGAAGCCCTACATTCGCAGACCCTATGAGGGTCCTACGTACATATATATAGTAGAATGCAGGGTTTCCAGAATAGGAATTACTATTTTGGTTTGGGCAAGTATCCCCCATGTAAGTACTTAGGACCCTATTGCAGACATCTAACCGTAAACCGTGCGTCTCAATCACGAGCCCAAGCGCCAAACTCCAGGAAGCCCTGAACCCTAACCCTAACCCTAAACCCCAAACCCCAAACCCTAAAAACTAAACCCTTAACCCAACACAGAGCCCTAAACTCTAAACCCTCAACACAAATATGTGCCTTTGGCCCATAGCGCGAGGCATCCACGGCATCCACCTGCTCCTGGGATTGCGTGTTTTTTGGTTCTCCAAAAGGGTCTAGGTACTGTGATGGGTTTAGGGTTTAGGGTATGGGGCATACTTCCCTCATCATAGTAACTCCTAATATAGAAACCCTACATTCTACTATGTTAGGTCCTTTGGACCCTGTATGGGTTTGTGATTGCGAAGGAGCTGATATGATGATATTCTACTGCGATCTTCCTACTGTACCCAGAGGGTCCAGATATACTACCGTTATTGTAATTAGGCCCCTGAAACCATACCATGCGGGACCGAAATCCGTAATAGTAGTATTTCTGGACCCCTGGGGGTAACCTCACTTCAGTATGATATGTCCTTGAAGCCCTGTTCTACTTGCCAGGGCTCCTCTACTACGATGAGTTCAACCTCAACTCTAGGCCCCAAAACCTACCCTGAACCCTGGACCCTAAACCCTGAACCCTAAACCCACGATGAAACCTAAATCCGAAACCCTAAACCCTAAGCCCACCCTGGACCCTAAACCCAAGTAGGGCTCGCAGGTCTTTCGCCCCAGGGCTCGCAGGGTTTTCAGGGCTTCGGGGGCATCTAACATGTTTAGGGTTGAGGGTTTAGGGGTTTAGGGTGGTTTAGGGTTTAGGGTTTTGATTTTTTTGTTTAGGTTTTAGGGTTTTGGTTTAGGGTTTAGGGTTTTGGGGGGTTTAGAGTTCAGGGTTCATAGGTTTAGGGCCAAGCACTTAAATGCTCGCATATGGACGTCCGCAACCATCAACAAACTGTGGATATGAGCAAACCATCATATCGCGAGCCTGTATTTCCACAATGGCTACCTTGGTGGTTCTCAAAAACCGGGCGTTTGCTGTTAAGATAATAGGGACTGATGCATTGCAGGCGCATTGCCGAGAGAAGTGCTATAGTTGATTGCTCTACACCAGCAGGTCTGACAGAGCTTCGAGGAGAAACCCTACGCTAAAACCCTACCTCAACCCACCAGAACCTACTTTGCTGTAGGGTCCCTATACGTCCCCATATTAGGGTTCAGAATAAGAACCTACCAAAAAAAGTGGGTTTTGGTGGGTTCAGGTAAACCCTATAAACCCTAAACC